GAATTATCGTTTATATTAATTATATTAAAATATAAAAACATTCAATTATGAATTTCTATTTTATCTAATCATTTAGCAATAAGGTTAAGTTTTATTTATTAAAAATTAAAAGCATTTAATATAAAAATAACCGAGCTTGATAAATTTCGAAGTCTTTAGAGCCTAATACCAGTGCCAGGTATTTGGTATACAATTAAATAATAATAATAAATTTATTGTTTTATTATACATGTATTATTTACAGAAATAATTAAATTAATTTATAAATTATAAAACTGCTCAATAAATTGCGCGCATTTATAGCCCACGAGTATCGTCGCGGAGGCGGTGTTGGCGTTGGGTATAACGGGAAACACAGAGGCGTCGCAAACCCTCAGATTTGTCGCCCCCTTAACCCTCAACTGGGGATCCACCACAACGTCCGGCCTCTCTATCGCTCCCATACGACAGGTGCCCGACGGATGGCCGCCCGACACCGTATTATACTTAATAAAACACTTTAATCCGTCCACACATTCATACAAATACTGTTTGTCCGGACAGTCGGGACACCCGATGGCCGAAAATGGTGGCAATGGCTGTATATAGTGGGCCAGTTGTGTGCGTTCGTGCAGGTAAAACATCATGGTCACCGCTTCCAACATGTTTGCTTTGTCTGCCGTATTTGCGTACCAATTAGGGTCCATTAGTGGGGGCAACAGTGGATCAGTTGACTGCAACTTTATTGTACCCCTACTCGTATATCTCACTAAAAATATTACATTAAGAAGTGAAGTGGTATTTTGTCGCACAACTTGAATCTCGACGTTTGGCCACTCTATGTCCCGGTTTGAACGCGTGCTCGCGTATGAAGTCAGCGATGGTAGCGACGCCAACTGTCCACCGCGATTATAATATAGCTGGCTCAATTGTTGAACATTGATTTGAGGTGTTGGGTTAATTAATGATAAATATTGCGCCTTTAGTACTGGATTTAGATTAACAATAGGGTGATTTTGAAAATTCAGTCCCACCGGTAGGTCCAATACGACCGGTATTTTAAAGCGTTTCAACTGCTGTTTAGGACCGATGCCTGAGAGCATCAATAATTGCGGGCTTTGAATGGCACCTAAATCATGGTAATAGTTATTAAGATTAATGTATTATTTATCAAACAATTGCCATAAATTTTAAATTAATTTTCTTATAGTATTTACCGCCGGAAACAATGACTTCTTTGTTGGCGTAAACCGTATACGAGATGTCATTCACTATAAACTCGACGCCAATGGCTGTCAACCCATTAAACAGTATTTTAGTGACCAATGCTTTGCAAACTATTTGCAAATTATCCGGATGTGGGTTCGGGTCGACAAATATATTACCCGTTCCCGCTCTCAGTCCCGACGAGTTAACGAACGATTGGGTTATCGCATACCCGGTCTGATTCGCACCATTAATGTCGGTTTCCTTATATCCCAATTCATTAAACGCGTTAAAATATTTAAAATACATTGCATCAGGGTTGTTTGGCGTAGTGATCTGAATGGGACCGCGAGTGCCGTGATATCCGGGTTCTTTGTGCACTATAATAGGGTTAGTATTGTTCTCCCACTCCCTGAACACCGGCAACACATCCCTATAACTCCAACCGACGGCGCCGTACGTCTGGGCCCACTCGTCATAACCCTTGCGATTACCCCGATTGAATTGCATGCCGTTGTGCGCCGAACTTCCACCAAGAGTTTTGCCCGCATTTTCAGGCGCTTTCCCACAGGCAAACTGTTTGCCATAGTTTTTGTTTGGCTGATAATAATAATACCAATTGAGTGCAGTTATACCCGTGACGTTCCCATACATGGCCGGTATATCATTATAAAGTGCATTTTGCGGTCCGCCCGACTCCAACACTATCACCCTGGTTGATTTATTAAGGCTTAGTTTGTTGGCCACAATCGCACCGGCAGTGCCGCCCCCGACAACTATGAAGTCGTATGTTGTGTCCCATTGAGTGGCGGAACAGGTGTTGTCGTGTATTACCTGCCGTTGGGCTGTAATCCAAGCGACGGCCAGTAGTTTGTAGGCAAACGGAGTGATCATCATATTTGACGTGTCATTCAATTTGATTAAATAATTGTATATCACGTTTAGCGTAAGGACACAACTTTATTAGAATAATTGTAATTGTAATACAATAATGTTACAATTATTGTAACATATACAGTACATATCATTTGATGGTGGTGGTAAATTAGCGCAAAAGTGCAATTTCATTTATCAAAATTTTATTTATAAATTTTATAACTATTTTTTAAAATTTTGATATGTTCCATTTTTAAATAATAATAAAAACATAAAGCATAAAGTAGAATAATTTGAATATTCTCATTCTGTAAGCTATATTTTACTGATTTACTTAAAAATTCATTTATAATTTAGCATATGTTCAAAAATTGAATAGACTGTACAGTATAGTGAATGCACAGATAGTAATGTTATTTAAATGGTTGTTTTTTAGCAATATGATTTGTATTTTTTTTTTAAATTTTAATAATTCACAGCTACTTTAGATTAGTTTGTTTCGCAAAATAACAGTTTTACCTTTCAATGGCATATGTTTATAAAAATTACATAAAGGTAAAGTTCTAAAAAATATTTTTAAACATAATTTATATTAATAAACAATAAAATAATTAATAATTGTACAAATATTTTAATACTCAGTTCAATGACCTACAGTTATGTCTTGTTATTAATTGCAAATTTTATTAATTTTAATATTATTACACACTATACACTCATATTCACCTCCTACCCATAATTAAGCCAAAAACAGGATATGATACGACCAATAATTAAGCCTAGCTGCAGGATTACTATTTGCAAATTCATGCTTAATTTTAAATGCATGTATATGTGTGAATATAAATACACATAGGTGATAATTAAATGTGAAAAAAAGTTTGAAAAAAGTGACGAGCCGGTGATCGAACCCAGGGCCTTTAGAATTAGTAGCCAAAGCTCTACCAACTGAGCTATGCTGACAATGTAAAGTTTGTATGACTTAATTGACTCTTTATAGATAAATTATTAATTTCAACATGCATGAGTGTTTGTAAATATGACACATAGTCAAATATGTTTTCCTATTAAACTAATGAATTGTATTGTGTCATTGTGTGTGATATTGAGATGTGATTTTGTGACTAAATTATATTCTGCACCTCTATTTTGGGACAAAATTACGTCCACAAAATGACAAATTCAAGCATAAGTGCGTGAATAGTTTTAAACATATGCAACTTTCAAGCATTTTGAAGGATTAGATTCAGGAGTTTTTGTTGTGCTTAATTGTTACTCTGGGTATATTATAACAGTGTAAGTAAATACAACACAATTGTTATTTAAGTTTGTATAATTAGATTTACATTTATTTTTAATATACGCTTAATAACTTATTAATAAATAATTGCAAATACGTCTACAGATTATTGTGTAGTAAAGTCTCGCAATTAACTTTACTTTAATTAATTGTTATGCATGTTTATTTATAAATTATAATTATATAAACTGTATCTAACTTGTAAATTAAATTAATATATTTTAGTAATTTTAATAAATAAATTGTTATATCTATAGTCAACATTTAATTAATATATTTATAATGTAATTTTTTAAAATTAAGTTTATAAAATTATTAATGTTAAAAAATTTGTTAATAATAAAAATAGTTACATAACATTGAATTATTGTAAAATAAAAATATTAGTTAACTTCAAGGTTTCCACAAATATTATGTACGTTATAATGAGCACGTTTTCAAAATTTAATTAATTAATTAAAAATTTTGTTTTAACCATCAGAACAATACAATACTTGTAATTATTTATAAATTAAAAACATTGATAATCATGATGAGATCAAAAGTCAGTTTAACACGTTATATGTATATAGTGTTTGTATTCATAAATTAATTAGTAAAATATTTAACTTGTTAAATATAATATTATCATTAATATTCTCAACATAATTTTGGCACCAATTTGTTGCATATTTATAGATAATATTTTAATGATCAAGATTAAATTTGCACTTTTTGCCCAGTTTTATTATTTATAATTCTTCTATTGTATTGATTAATTAATAATAATCATTACAATGTATATAATTAAAATGAACATAGTAAATTATAAGTTTTATTTTATTATTATATACATGTACTTAAATATTTAGTACATTATGTTTAGTATGTAGTGTAAAAAACATATAATTTAAACTACATATTTTCCTGATAACGTCAAGTATTTTTAATTTTACATTTTAATATAAAGATAATAATTATCGTGATTGTTTTCTTACACATACAAACACACCCCCTGTTCAAAATCCCCATTCAGTAAAACACTAGATGTTTTTGTGTACAAAATAATATTTTATCAATAATGTCTACTGTATTATACAGTCTGTATATAACATATCATGTAATTTCAAAAATTTTATGAATTATGAATAAAAAATAAATATAACTTTTATGATGATGATGATGATGATGAAACTCGTGAGTAAGTCATTTATTGAATCAAAGTCTACCAAGTACCACCAAGATCTGATACAATTTCATGCACCCCCTATTTAGTAAATAAATACTATAAAGTTACTATGTAAGTTGACTCATTGACATCAAATTAAATTAACACATTTAATTAACCTAATTAGAACTAAACATGATTAAATACTATTGTTTGAATAAATTATAAGTGTAAATCTTAATTTTATAATTAATATGTTTTTTATTTCCTATGTACTAAATGAATAACCTTGATCATTTAATAAAATTCAATGTAAAAACGCTAATAATTACTGAATAAATACAGACTAATAAAAACTAAATAAAATACAGATACAATGCATATTTGCGATGAATAATATATTTCCGATGTAACAGTACATAATAAACTCAATAGTAGGACCAAGATTAATTTTTAACAATTTTCAACAGCCTATTAACCTTATAGTTCATTTTAATTGGTTTTTAATTTACATGATTAAAATGTAAATTAATAAAATAATTTACTTTTAAAAATTATAACTATTTGTTATAAATTGTACCAACATAAAATAACATTTTTATAAAACTCCCTGATACCCTGGTCATGCCTACTTAATAATGACATTGATTATCTAAATTGTATATAAATAGCTGAGCTAACACTCAGTAAAACCGGTAGCAAAACGTGGTGATCCGACAATTCAATTTGGTGTTTAAAAATTACCATAATCAAATAACAACTTATTAAAAATGACTGACTTTAGCGGAAATTATAAACTAACCTCGTTCGACAACTGGGAGGCCCTGCTCCGGGAGCTTGGTCAGTTTTCGCTACTTTCAATTTAATTACTTCAATACAAAATATATACTTTAAAATTAATTGACTACTTTTTAAAATTATTATAAAGTATCTTGATTAAAAACATTAATGTAATTACAGGTGCCAGCGAGGAGGTGATCGCCAAATTGAATTCAAACACATCGGATCTGACCATAACTCAAAACGGCACCACTTTTACCCTGAAGAATGTCAGCCCAAACCACACCCGAGAGGTGACGTTTGAGTTGGGAAAGGAGTTTGACGAGACCCGCGCTGATGGCAGTGTTGTCAAGGTATATACCAAACTACCCACATCATAATTTTAATATATTCCACATAATACTGTATATTTGAAATTATTTATTCAGTGTATACTAAATTTTATCTAGTTATTATTTTCAGCACTTGTTTATTAATTGTGCTAATATTATTATTATTTTATTTTAGTCTGTAGTGACCGCTGATGATAATAAATTGATCCAGATACAAAAGGGCGATAAAGAGTTGACAATCATCCGGGAACTGGTGGGCAATGAGCTGAAAGTGTCGGCCACTGCCGGTGCCGTAACCGCACATGGTGTTTACACCAAACAATAATTATATTGAACATTGTTTTTTGCTTATTAAATTACCCATACGAATTAAATCTATATATTGAACTAAATATAATAAAATAAATTTATAATAAACATTTTGCAATGATTTTAAAAATGATTACTTTTTTTGTAACTATTAAGTGCTCTAAAGTACAGTAAGTTACATAGTGCACTATGCAGTATTTATGTTTTATATACTTAACATTTTAAATTAAAATGTTAAGTATATAAAACATAAATACTTCATTAAAATTTTTAATCATGGCTAGATATAACAGTTTTTGGGCAGTAATTGTTCAATAATAAATTTATTTATTAATACATTAAATTCAAATTTTTTAAATTATAGTTTTTAAACCAGACAAAAAATTTTAAAATGATAAAATATAATACTTAAAATCCCAAATATAATAAGTAGTTAAAAATTAATATTAAAATATATTACTTTACGATTTCTACAATTGGGTAGATATAGACGTACTATAAATACATTATTATTGATTTTATCATAAATTGTTAGAAAAACATTTAATAAAACCTTGTAAATAACAAAAATAACAATTGTTTTATTTGGTAGCAAATGCTGAGAATATAAAGTTTTCTTTATATATTTTCTGTTTGTGTTTACAATACATTATACGTAAGCACAAATGTGTTTTAAATTTAGATTTATTTTATTAATAATCCAAAATTGTTAATACTACCTTTAATACCGAAAATAAACATTAATACTTTATTACTATAGAATTGATTTAAAAATTATTATATAATTCACTTCAATTTAAATTTTATACTAAATAATTATATTAAATATATTAAATAAAATCATCAAAATTTCATGGTTAAATAGTTACATTAAAATATCTGGTTTGATGCTAAAATTATTAAATTAATTACAAAATCCATATAATTTCAAACATGCTGTTTACTTATAACATGATATGTATTATTAAAAGATATAATTTATAACAATTATGCAGTTTCGGTGCATTACTTATTTCTTATCAGAAATGCACTAAATATTACATTATTTACATGCTATGCACAAAAAATAAAATACCCATATTAAATATCTATTGTATTAAAAATACTTATTTTTGAAAAAGTATATAAGCTATACATTTTATCAAGTTTATTTATTAAGTTTACAAAATATAACAACTCTAAACAGGCTAAACATTTAATTGTTGTTTATTAAATTTTTATTAATTATTATTTAAACCCGTAAACAATGACTGACTTTACAGGCAACTTTAAACCTATTTCCACCGAAAACACCAAGGAGCTTTTGAAGGAATTGGGTAATTTTATAATTTATTATTAGTTATAAATATTATTAATTATTATCTGTTATAAAGTTATTACTAAACTTATTAAAACTACATGTTATTAAATTAAACACGGTTAATTAGGGGCTAGCGATAAGATAATAAACCAAATGGGTTCATTAACTTACGAGCTAAACATTACTAAAGCTGGTCCGGTGTACACCTTGAAACAAGTATCACCCAATTTTACCACGGAGACAAAATTTGAGCTGGGTAAAGAGTTTGATGAGCAGCATCTCGATGGTTCCACCGTTAAGGTAAAATGTTGTTAATTATTAAGTTTTACAAATATAAATTACTAACAATTATTAATATAATTTACGTAATTTAGACTGTGCATTTTGCCGATGGTAACAAATTAATCCAGACCACTAAAATAAACAATAAAGTGATGAAGGTTGTTCGTGAATTTAGTACTAGTAGCGAACTCCATGTGACCGCTACTTATGGTTCGGTAGTCTCGATCGCTACCTATAAGCGAGAGTAGATTGTATTTAGTGATTATAAATGTTTAGTTAATATTATTGTTATATTAAAAATAGATTTACTAGTTTTATTAGCTATTTGATTTTACTTTGTTAATAATAAATGTGCTTTATTATATAATAAATATTTAATACTAAATTTTTGCAATATATTTATTTATTATAATTATTCATTTAAATTAAATTATAACTTATTATTTAAAGTTAGATAGATAGATAGAGAGATTATTTGAGAGTGTATTTACTAATTTTAAAAACTAATATTATTAAAATTAATTAGTTATTTAAAAATCACTTAAAATCACTTACTTAGGGCTTAGCATGTTCTTTATTAAATAATAAATATTTAACGCTAAATTTTTGCAATATATTTATTTTGAATATTTATTTTTTATATTTATTTATTTAAAAATTATGTTAAATTAATTTTTACCTTATTAATTATAGTTAGATCATATTTCAAGAGAGAGAGAGAGAGAGAGAGAGAGAGAGAGAGAGACTTAGAAAAATATTATTAACTAAAAATTAACAAAACCTAAATTATTTAAAAATTTAAGTTATATCATTGGGAAATGTTGGTGTTTTTCAAACATCATGACTATTTAAAATTAATATTAAAAATTATAAATTGCAGTATCATTCGAGCTATATAACATCAAATATTTCTTATCTTGCTGGCATTTAATATTTAATTTTCTAGCCTAAAAGTTTAGTCAATATAAAACTATTAACATATAAATTACACAATGACTGACTTCACGGGTAGTTTCAAACAGGTATCAGACAATAATTTTTATGACGTGCTTCAAGAACTAGGTATTGATTAAGAATAATAAAAAATAAATATATTGACATTTGTAATCAATTTTAATTGTACCAGGCGTAGAAGATAAGATAATTGCTAAAATGAATCAGATCAAGCCTAGTTTTAACATCACCAAAACTGATGCCGTATATACATATACTTTGGTGTTTCCACACGTGACCACGCAGTTCAATTATGAACTGGGTAAAGAATTTGATCTTGAATTTTTTAATGGCATATTCCTCCAGGTAGGTTATTAAGTAAAATTCTTTAACAATCATTATTACATTAACCATTATTAAATAAATATAAATCCAATCACTAATACATAAATTAGTGCAAAGTAAAAATGTTAATAATGCAAAAAAGCTAAATTCTTGTGCAATTTTTAAAATTTGATTTAAAAAATAATCATTATATCAAAATAGACTATAATAGTCGCCGATGGTAATAAGCTGATCCAGACTCACGTGACTGGTGACAAAGTGATGAAGGTGATCCGAGAATTCAACGACGATGAGGTGGTAGTAACTATCAGTATTGGTTCAGCTATAGGTAGCGCTGTTTATAAGCGGGAGTAAACTGTATTATCATTTAAAATAACTAAATGTTTATTGCATTAAAACATTTATTAGTTATTTTAATGTACACCCAGAATGTACTGATTTTTAAAATTAATTTTATTAAAATAAATTACTTATTTTAAAATTTTTTGCAATTATTGTTTTATGTTATAATAAATTAATTTAAAAAATTCTTGCTAAATAAATAAATAACATGGCAAATTATTAAATATTAATTCTATTCGTTCATTGTTATAATTAAACTGCAATTCTAGTGATTTGAATAGGTATAAATACATTATTTGTAACCACAATTAATTATGAATAATGTGGTTTATAGAATCCAAAAACTTAATTTAAATTTATTTAAAAATTATATTTAAAATTTAAGTTATATCATTGAGATTATAGTATTGATGTTTTTTAAAAACATCATGACTATTTAAAATAATGCATTTAAAAAATTATAAATTGCAATCTCATGCGAGCTATATAAACATCAAATATTTCTTACCTTTGTGGCATTTAATATTGAATTTTCTAGTCTAAAAGTTTAGTCAATATAAAACTATTAAAATATAAATTACACAATGACTGACTTCACGGGTAGTTTTAAACTGGTATCAAACAATAATTTTTATGGCGTTCTAAAAGAACTAGGTATTGCTTATTAACAAACAAATAAGCTTATTGAAATTTGTAATCAATTTTAATTGTACCAGGCGTGAATGATGAGGCAATTGCTAAAATGAATCAATTCAAGCCCAGTTTTAACATCACCAAAACTGGTACCGTGTATACATATACTATGGTGTTGCCACATGTGACCAAGCAGCATAATTATGTACTCGGTAAAGAATTTGATGATGAATTCTTTAATGGCATAAACTTCAAGGTAGATTATATATATACTTTATATATATATATAAATTCTTTTAAAATCATTATTACATTAATCTTATTAAATAAATACAAATCCATTTATTAATGTATAAATTAGTGCATACTAAACATGCTAAATTCTTATGTAATTAATTTTTTTAAAATAATCATTCTATCAAAATAGACTGTAGTAGTCGCTGATGGTAATAAACTAATCCAGACATACGTGACTGGTGACAAAGTGATGAAGGTGGTCAGAGAATTTAACGGCGATGAGGTGTTAATAACTAACACTATTGGTTTAGTTACGGGTACCGCTGTTTATAAGCGGGAGTAAACTGTATTTACATTTAAAATAACTAAATGTTTATTGCGTTAAAAAAATTTCAAGCATTTATTAGTTATTTTGATGGATAAGGTGTATTTACTAATTTTAAAAACTAATATTGTTAAAATTAATTAGTTATTTTAAAATAATATAGCATGTGTTTAATTTGATAATAAATATTTAACGCTAAATTTTTGCAATACAATATATTTATTTTATATTTATTTATTTAATAATTATGTTAAATTAATTTTTAACTTATGAATTAAAGTTAGATCATATATTAAGAGAGAGAAATAGAGAGAGAGAGAGAGAGAGAGAGAGAGAGAG